TTTAATCAATAAATTGTTATTATAAAAATTAAAATTAGCTAAATATACAAAAATTGGTAATAATTATTAGATTTATTAACAATTGTCAATTTGATTTTACCGATTTGTTGCCAATTTTACTGATCAATTTGTTGACAAGTGGCAGGCATTATGGTGCAAATCGTATATAAAATTAGTTGCCGATTTTTTTGGTACTGATCAGTTAAGATCAGACCAAATTTTGTCCAACATTCGGCAATTTAAAATTTTACTGAAATGGACTATTCCAACCAGTGATAATAATAAATATTAAAGAACCAATAAAATAAATTTTATTATATGTCTTATACAATGAGAAATATTATTGATAACCAATAAAATTAAAGATATCATATGATCAATTTGAAAGAAAAAAAAATTAATAAAAATATATAATTAAATATAAACTGTTTGATATATTCAAAAATCTATAAAATATAAGTAAAAGTACTAATTAATTAAAACTTCAAATAGCTTTATAATCATCAATAAAAGGACCCTGCTTACTTATCTCTTAAACTGTAAAGGCTAAAATTAATTTTAAAAATTTTTGAATTTTTAAAATATCTTAAGATTTAGTGATCATAGAAAGATAAAATTATATTTGTTAGATTCCTCTTATTAAAGTGCATTTATTTAATGGTAATAAAATCATAACTCTAAAATTGATAAATAAAAAGTTATATTAATTTATAAATTTTTAGTTTTTATAAATTATCCTGTTACATAATGTTTGTAGAAGAACAATTTTTATTTCTATTAGATTCTTCTCATTAAAACATATCAAATGGTGGTAATTTTATATTTCTAGGGTTAATGGATAAAAAGATATTTCAATTTAAAAAATTTAACTACTATTTGTTATAATTTGTTAATCATTTACTTTTAAAAAATCATTAATTAAATTGAATTTTTTTTCAATTTTTACTTAGAAAATACTATAGAATTTATTATAAAATATTTTTATTTTTTTTTTTATTATACTCAAAGGAATCGTGATACATCAATATAAAGAGGAGACAAGTCTCTAAACTACTCTAAACAATCAATAAAATTGCCTACCTGTCCAGTGCAATGGCAAATTATAAAATATTGGTTTATGTAATAAAATATTTTAAGGTATTTAAAAATGGTTTAATTAAAAAACAAAATTGCAGGCAAATTTGGCTGCAAAACAGTTTAAGGGTTATTAAAATAGGTTACCAAAAACCTAAGGTAAAATTCATAATTGAGAATTTTAGAAGATCTTACTATATATAGATAAATTATATCTAAAAAGGAAATATTACATTAAATTATTATAATTTTTTCCTTTTTAAATCAATTAACCAATAGGATTGCTGGTAAAATTACTAGTAAATTTGAAATTTTTTCTGGAGACTTTTATTAGAAGTAAGCAGAATCCTTCAATAAATTATAAATAAAAACTTTTGTTTTTAAATAGTTTAACTTTCAAGACAATTTTTTAAGAAAATTAAGTATAAAAAGGAAATCAAAGGAAATCTGCAAAACTTCATAGCTTGAAAACTAACTCTTATTTTAAAAATATTATATTAACAACTTTTTAAGTATATAGTTTACAGTAAATATTTTATGAAATTACAAGAAATTATAGAGGAATAAACACTGGTCAAAATAGTTCAAATCGGCCAAAATTTAGCTAGCCGATTTTGGACTGATTTATAGTCTAATGCTGGTTGAACTTTAGCCAATTTTTTGGCTGCAATTCACTGCCACTCGCCTAAAGTTCAGCTTGAAATTTCAGCTAAGATTCAGTTAACCTTCGAAATAATTTCAAATAGCAAATTTTGGTGAATAGTTTTCTGAATGTTACTTAATTTATGTTGCAAATTTGTACTAAATTTATTTACTAATATTCAGCCACAACTCATTTTATTTGATATTCGCAATAAAATTACAACTTTATTTATAAATGCATATTACAAATAAGTATTGCTAATCTACAATTCCACAATCACATAATTCATGTATTTATATATACTTACGAATCTTTGGTTTTTTCTGTTTATCAGAACCCACCTGAGACACCAAATCTATAAAAAAGAAAAAAAATAATGTATAAGATGATCCTTTTTTAAACTTTTAATATGCATAATATGTAATGTGTAACGTTTGATTAAATAATTCAATAAATTAACCATAAATCATATATGTTGAAATTTGGCCGATTTTTAATAATTTCCAAAATTTGGCCAAAATGTGTGACAGATCAGCCGATTTGTCACATATAAGGTTGCTTGTCTAAACCTCTTCAAAATCCAACAATTAGTTTCATCAAAATTTTACTATAGATTTATTATAGTTTCGGCAGAGTTTTGGCAGTTTCAGCATTTATAATAAGTTTCGGCAGTTTCGTCTTTCTCCAAAGTTTCGCCAGTTTTTTAATATAACTTTAATATAGTTTCAGCAGAATTTCGCTTTTTGGCGAAATGCCATCTTGCCTAAACCCCTAGGTTTCGGCAAGCAACCTTAGTCACATAGCTGAAAGTTTTTATTTCGACCAGTGAAATATAACAAAAAAGTTTTATTAGAAGTGTTCGTAAAATTATAAAGGAAATCAGGATAATTAAAAATGATTTTCATGTAATCATATGATCAAAATGATCGCATTAATTTGAAAATAATGATAATAAAATTAATCAATATAATAAAGTAAATTTTTTTCAATAAGAATTAAAGAAGGTATTTTAGTTAAATACTATTTAAATTAATTTAATTGTCATATCATAGATTTTTTATATTGAATCTCAGTTTTTATATATATATATATATTTATAATTTTATTTTAAATAAAATTTTAAATTATTATTATTGAATTTCATTATATTCAATTAAAGTAACAATAAAATATAATAACAATCGTCATTATATGATATATATTATTAATAGATTATAATTAATTTTCACCCGGGGTGATTTAGCAATTTTTCACCTAAGGTGATTTAACCTGATAATTTTATATATTTTTATATAATTTACCTGGTGATATCACCTCATTTAAATTTTATTGGCTAATTAATATGCTGATCATTTCTTATGTTTGTTTTTTTTTTTTTTTACACGGCACTCAAGATACGTTTTCTTTCTTTTTTTTTTTATTTGCTTCTTGCATTTTGTTTCCTACTAACTTTATTTCATTTTTTTAGGTCCTTTAGCTCTTTTGGCTTTGCAATTAAGGTATATATGTCCAGCACTAGGCCATTTCTTATTTTTTATTTCATTCTTATATTTCGTTTCTTACATTTTGTATTTCACTCTTTTTAGATCTTTCGGTTCTTCTCTGCAACTACTAAGGTATGTTTTTATTTTTTTGTTTTCGTTTATTTATTACATGTAATTTCCGTTCCCTACTAACTTTATTTCTTCTTTTATTTTATGGGTTTGGTTTTTACTTGGTACCCTGTTTATCTCATTTTCGTTCCTTCTCCATTTTTTGTTCTTTTTCGTCTCTTCATTTTTTTTGCTTTTTTATTCTTCCCTTCCTTTGTTTTTTCCGTTGTTCTTTATTTTCTCTGCGTTCCTTTCATTTTTTTTTTGTTCCACTTCGTCTCTTTCGTTCCTTTACACTATCCTTCATCCATTCCCACTTCATCTTTTTTATTCCTTTACACTACCCTTTATTCTTTTTATTCCCCCTTTGCTCCATCTCGTCTCTCCTTCATTCTTTTTATTTTTTTTCATTCCCACTTGATCTTTTTCACCCCTTTCGTTTTTTTCACTTCCCCTTTGCTCCATTTCGTTCCTCCTTCAATCCTCCCTTTGTTTCTTTCATTCCCATTCACCCTCATTTTTTTTTTCCTTTTTTTATTCACATATTCTCTTTTCTTTATCGTTGTGACTCATTTTTTTTTGTTATTCCTATCAAAAAATTTAGTATTTTGGATAGTATGAGTTTGTTTTTTTCAATCAATGATTCATGTACTAATCTATTAAAAATTAATAAATTGCTATAAACTTTTAGTGCGAAAATATTTTAAGCATTGTTTATTATATATTTAAAAATTTGGCCAATCAAAAATTTCTTTTGCAGAGGATTTATATTCAAATTACGAAGTGAGAAATATTAAAATTTACACCAATCAAATTTAATAAATTTAATAAATTAATCGTGAGTGAAATCACCTAGGTGAAATCACCTAGATGATCTTCACCCGGAGAGAAAGTTAGCAATAGTCTTATTAATAATATATCATGAAATTAGTAATTAATATTTTATTACATTTTAAAAATAGTAACAATAAATATTAAAACTATAGTAAAATTTCAGATCATTAACTCCTATAAATATTTTTAATTTTGTTAAACCAAATTTTATTAATACAAAGAAAATATTATTTATTTCACTTAACTTTAAATTCTCTAATTATTTTTGCAAAATTGATGATAATTTTTAAAATATATAAAAATTTATGAAAAATTTTTGTATAAATTTTTTTTTATGCTACATGATCAACATATATATCACTATTTACAATAAAGTGTAAATTGATTACATGATATATGATATTTATCTAACATTAGCAAAATATTAATTTATCATAAATTCCTGCAAATTCTCAGTATTTAAAATTTTAGTAATATTGCGACTTGTATAATATGCTTGTGAATGAGATTGTACAATAGTAGAAATATTAGCTTGTTTTTGTGTTAAAGCATTGTTAGCTTCTATAAATTCAAGCATATCATTTTTTAAGTTATTATTAACATCAAGTACTTCAAACTTATAAATTCCATCCTTATTATTTTCATAATATTTACCAATACAATTAATCCATTCAGATATTTTATCTTCAAGTTCAGTTATAGTTGGTCTATTGAAAGAATTTGAATCCCAACATTGTTTCATTAAATCTACATAACATTTTGGAGTATTCTTAATAATTTCGGGACGATCTTCTTGACATATATTTAAAATAAATTGATTATCATGTTCTTTATCATTAAATGGAGGAATACCTGATGTAAATTCCCACATTATCATTGAGAAACTGTAAATATCACTTGCTGGAGTATAAGGTTTATATCTTAATATTTCAGGTGCCATATAAGGCAAAACTCCATAAATATTATCATCTTTTTTATCAGAATCTTGTAAATTATTTATAGGTTTACATAATCCTAAATCAATAATAAATAATTCATTATAATTATCTGACATTAAAATATTACCATCATGAAAATCACCATGAGTTAAATTTGATTCATGAATTACTTTAAGTCCTAATATAATTTTTTTCAATAATTGTAACTTATTTTGCCACTTAAGTTTAATTATATCAGATAAACATTTTCTCAAATTTCCTTTCTTTGCATAGCTCATTACTACTATATAATTCGAATTAACTGGATTTTGAGTAATTCCAAAAATTTGAATAAATTTTGAAAATGATTTTTTCTGGCAATTATAATGATGTTTCCACTATAAAATTAATTAAACCATTAATAATTTTACAAAAAAAAAATAATAATAAATTAGTTAGATATTATACCTCATCCAGAAATTTATTATCTAAACAAGATGAATTATTAAGTATTTTAAGAACAACCTCATAACCCATTTGAAATTTCCATCTATACCATTGTTGTTTATTAAAATTCCAACTATCAATAGGTCCATCTAACCAAAAAGCTTTATGAATTTCACTAAATCCTCCTTTATCATGATAATTAATATTTGATAATTTATTATAGGGTATCCATTCTAAAACTTCATAACTACTTTTAGCATTTATTTGTGCTTCTTGAATAAATTCATCAATAAATTTATTTTCACTAGTCCACTTTGAAAAATCTTGTTGAAATCGTTTAGAATTACATTGTTGGCACCATTTGTAATTAGTATATTGTTGATTGCATTCTTTACATAATTTAAACTTATTTATAAAACTTATTTTACTATCACTTTCTGTTACTTTTTGATACCAATAAAAAGCTTTCTCTAAATTTATTTCTATTTCCTCTCCATTTTCATAATAAAGAGCTAAATCATACATTGCCTCTACAAGACCACCTTCTGCTGCTTTTTGAAACCAGTAAAAGGCTTTTTTTAAATTCTTTTCTGTTCCCATTCCATTTTTATAACAAAGAGCCAAATCATACATTGCCTCTAAAAGACTAGCTTCTGTAGCTGCTTTTTGATACCAATAAAAAGCTTTCTCTAAATTTTTTTCAGTTCCTATTCCATCTTTATAACAAATAGCTAAATCATACATTGCATTTATAAAACCACCTTCTACTGCTTTTTGATACCAATAAAATGTTTCTACTAAATTCTTTTCTGTTCCTATTCTATTTTTATAACAAATAGCCAAATTATACATTGCCTCTATAAGACCACTTTTTGCTGCTCTTTGATACCAGTAAAAAGCTTTCTCTAAATTCTTATCTATTCCTACTCCATTTTTATAATAAAGAGCCAAATTATACATTGCTTCCACAAAACCACCTTCTGCTGCTTTTTGATTCCAATAAAAAGTTTTCTCTAAATTCTTTTCTATTCCCATTCCATTTTTATAACAAATGGCCAAATTATACATAGAATTTACAAGACCACTTTCTGCTGCTTTTTGATACCAATAAAAGGCTTTCTCTAAATTTTTTTCTGTTTCAATCCCATCTTCATAATAAAGGGCCAAATTATGCATAGCATTTTTATATCCACTTTTTGCTGCTTTTTGATACCAGTAAAAGGCTTCTTTAAAATTCTTTTCTATTTTTCGTCCATTTTCATAATAAAGTGCTAAATTATACATTGCCTCTACAATACCACTTTCTGCTGCTTTTTGATACCAGTAAAAGGCCTTCTCTAAATTTACCTCTATTCCCATTCCTTTTTCATAATAAATGGCCAAATTATTCATTGCATTTACAAAACCACTTTCTGCTGCTTTTTGATTCCAATAAAAGGCTTTTTCTAAATTCTTTTCTATTCCTATTCCATCTTGATAACAAAGAGATAAACCAATTGTTGCTTTTATATTACCATTTTCTGCTGCTTTTTGAAACCAGTTAGAGTATTTTTCTAAAATTTTTTCAGTTCCTATTCCATTTTTGTAACAAATAGCTAAATCATACATTGCTTCTACATTACCACTTTCTGCTGCTCTTTGATAACAGTTAAAGGCTTTATCTAAATTCGTTTCTGTTTCCACTCCATTTTTATAATAAGAAGCCAAATTATATATTGCTTTTATATTATTACTTTCTGCTGCTTTTTGATACCAGTAAAAGGCTTTTTCTAAATCCTTTTTTGTTCCCATTCCATCTTCATAACAAAATGCCAAATTATACATTGCATCCACAAAACCACTTTCTGCTACTTTTTGAAACCAGTAAAAGGCTTTATCTAAATTTATTTCTGTTCCCTCTCCATTTTTATACAAAAAGGCCAAAGTCATTATTACTCCTATAAGACCACTTTCTGCAGCTTTTTGATTCCAATAAAAGGCTTTTTCTAAATTCTTTTCTGTTCCTTCACCAGTATAGTAGCAAAAAGCCAAACCACACATTGCCCTTGCAATACCACTTTTTGCTGCTTTCTTAAACCAGTAAAAAGCTTTCTCTAAATTCTTTCCTATTTCCACTCCATCTTTGTAACAAATAGCCAAATAACACATTATTTCTACATTACCACTTTCTGCTACCTTTTGATACCAGTAAAAGGCTTTCTTTAAATTCTTTTCTGTTCCCTCTCCATTCTTATAACAAATGGCCAAATTATACATTGCATCCACAAAACCACCTTTTGCTGCTTCTTGATACCAGTGAACAGCTTTCCTTAAATCCTTTTCTGTTCCCTTTCCATTATCGTAACAAAGGGCTAAATAATACATGGCTTCCACAATTCCACCTTCCACTGCTTTTTGATACCAGTAAAAGGCTTTCTTTAAATCCTTTTCTGTTCCCTCTTCATCTTCATAACAAATGGCCAAATTATACATTGCACTCACAAAACCATTTTCTGCTGCTTTTTGATGCCAGTAAAAGGCTTTCTTCAAATCCTTTTCTGTTCCCTTTCCATCATTATAACATAAAGCTAAATTATTCATTGCTCTAACATCTCCACCTTCCACTGCTTTTTGATGCCAGTAAAAGGCTTTTTCTAAATCCTTTTCTGTTCCCTCTTCATCTTCATAACAAAGGGCCAAATTACTCATTGCCTTCACAAAACCACTTTCTGCTGCTTTTTGATACCAGTAAATGGTTTTCTCTAAATTCTTTTCTGTTTCCACTCCATCTTTGTAACAAAGGGCCAAATCATACATTGCTTTTATATCACCACTTTCTGCTGCTTTTTGATACCAGTGAAAATTCTCTTTCATATCCTTACTTGTCATTTTAACAATTTTTCTAAGTAGTTTTAAATAAATCTAGGAAACAGAAAAGAAATATAGCGCAAATACTGTATTTATGTTATGCATATACGCAAGATGATGTCATATGTGCGTACAAATAATAAGTTATACTATATATATATATATCAGAGAAATTAGTTCATTTTTCATGTGATGTTCAAATAATAAAATCTAGGGGTTAGATAAATAAACGGGGGCCAACTCAAATGTTATACAGGACCGCCAGAAACGCGTTACTAAATATAAAAAAAATGATGCGATGCATTTTTATAAACAATAAAATAAAATTACATATGTAACAAAAATACCTAAAAATAATAAAATTTCGAACTAAAATCTTTCTATAGTAGTAAATTTCAGTAAAATCCTAAATACCTAGTATCTTAAAATTCTTAAAACTAATTTATATAAAAATTGCTTTACAAAATCTTATAAACTCGATTTTAGATAAAGACATTATTCATAAATCTGCGTATCTAATACCTCTTACCCGGATCTAAATTCCACAATTCCTCCAAGCCCATATATACAAAAATCCGTTTTATTTGTTATTGGAAAACTTTTTTACATAAACATGTGACTTCAATACAGGTATTGGAGTGGAGCATCTTGTCGTAACCTGTTCTCAGGTTCAGTCCTCCACTTTTTCTGAATCTTTGCAATTAGCGGGCTATTTTGTAACCTTTTTATCATTTATAATTTTTGCGTCTTAATCTCTTGATAAAATCGCCATTCAGAGTGGAGATTGATTTCGTTACACTTTGTGAAATCCATCTCTGCTAATTTGGGCGAGCTCTCAACTGTCATTACCACTTGATCGGATATTTGATTTTACTCCACACTATTATTTGTCTTTCAATTTATTGATCTTTGCATCAATCACTATAGTATAGAGAAAATCATAGCGTTGGTATGAGATCTTCTCCTCATTACGATGTTTGTTGATTATCTCGACCACTTCATTATTCTTCTTTAACAGCTTGACTCACTTTCCTCTGGCGTTGATGTTCTACCTGCATATTTGATTAATCACATCATCAACCACTTTCTCCTCTGTTATAGCATCTAGATTCTAGAAATGTAAAAAAGAAAGTTAAAATATATTTAAGATGAAATAAAAATAAAATATTGAAGTTACCTGCTTTTTGTATAAATATTTGATCGTGACAAACTTGAAAATTAAAATGAACAAAATTAGTAAACTGTAAGAAAATAAAGCAAAATGAAACAGAAAAGACTAATTCTTTACCTTCCAAAAACAATTGAAGCCACACAGTATAGCTATATATTTTCCGACAAAAATATCTAAAAGACCTAAAGAAAAGAACTAAAGATAAAGTTAATGAAACGAAAATGTGAAGAAAAAATTTAAGTCGATAATAGAACAAAAAAAATACCAACCTTTTACTCCTGTCTAATAATTTGCCAGAAGAAACCTAAAGGAAAAACCAGGTTAATTCAAGAAAAAAGGAAAAAGCCATTATAACATATTATTTATTAAAGATGCTACCTCTATTTTCTGATTTCTGAAGCCAAGACTGAAGGGTGCCGTTATCTAAAAAAAGGTAAAGATTAAAGAAGAACATGGTCGTAATATTAATAAAATGAGTTTCAAATTTGTATTGTTGCTTTATATATACATATGTATAATTTTGATATTATTACAATATTATTAGTAAATTAAAATTTTTTTCTGGCCATAATTCAGCCTAAAACCGGCCTTGTTGAATTTGGCTGAACTAATATAAATTTGAATATAGAACTTTTAAAGTACACTACGCATCTACGATATTTAAAGCTGGCC